GGGCCCTCACGGAGCCAGTGATGTGCACAGACATTTTCAGGGGACATTGCACTCACGTGACAAAAGGGCAACAACTATTACTATTTCAAAAGACCACATGAGACTTTCAATACTTTGACCCACACCTATGACCTTTTGAATACAATAGTCTTCTGTGTTGTTGTGAGGCAGGCTCTGTTACCGGCCCTGAGAGATGTGTCCCTGGTCTTCCACTGTGCGTCTCCAGCCCCTGGCAGTGACAACCGTGCACTGTTTGAGACCGTCAACATCCAGGGCACACGCACCGTGATTCAGGCCTGCATTGAGGCTGGGGTACAGGTGAGGCATCCAGGGGATCAGAGACCTCCATCAGTTTTGTTATGGTTTTAAACGTGTTTGCTTTTGGCAGAAATTGGTCCTGACCAGCAGTGCCAGTGTGGTGTTTGAAGGGACAGACATTAAGAATGGAAGAGAGGACCTGCCATATGCTAAGAAGCCCATCGACTACTACACAGAGACCAAGATCGAGCAGGAGAAGGTAGGAGAGGAGTGTTTTTCATTTCACTTGACTGGTTTCATCACTGTGGTTAGACCGATCCCAGCAGATGCTCATCACATGATGTGAGAACAAATGTGATTTTTGATTGACTCAGTGATTAGTTTTTAGTTTTCTCCTTCCTTTCTGAGATCTGCATCAATTCTTATTTTACTGTTTGTCTTTTATTTTTTTTATCAGTATCCCTAATCAACATAATATCAACATCAATAGTATTTCCTTGGCTTCCTTTGTTATTTGTGTGTCATCTGCCTCATCACCTTCACTCCGACACTCTTTGTCTGCGTTGTAGTTGGTCCTCGCAGCTTGTGACAAGGAGAAAGGTTTCCTCACCGTCGCCATCCGGCCTCACGGCATCTTTGGCCCTCGGGACCCACAGCTGGTTCCTATCCTGGTGGACACGGCTCGTAGGGGAAAGATGAAGTTCATCATTGGGTAAGCCACTATCAGGTCACTGCATAGTTGCTGTTCTATAAATAGAAATATAACAAGCTACTCTTACTTCTGCAGCATTAAACTTTATGTGACCGATATGGATTTTTGGAGGCTGATAGCGATAATGGGAAGTAAAGCATTTATGATGTGGATGTATATGTGTATTTATATATGTTGGGTTGTGACATACTGTATTTTCAATGTACCTTTTATAGCACTTTCTGCACATGAAAGGTAAGATTAATTTCTGCCTTGACAAAGGTAGACAATAAAGTATTTTCTATTCTATTGTTAGTAGTGAGGTAGTTATTCAGCCCATAGCTTGTACCATTGTGCAGAGGGAGAGTTGACTCTTGTTTTCTAAATTACTCTCCACTCAGTATTTCTCTTTTATTTCATCTCTCTCAGTGATGGGACTAATCTGGTGGATTTCACCTTCGTGGAGAATGTGGTTCATGGACACATCCTGGCTGCTGAGCGCCTGAGGCCTGACTCCCCCATATGTGGAAAAGTAAGTAAAAGTGACGTTTAAAGACAAAGATTTGACAAGATTCGGCTTCAGGATCCATCTTCCATGTGAGTCTGTGGCGTCTTTGTAAGATCAAACATCGGGTCTTTTATCTCCTCCTTCACTTTCAGCCGTACCACATCACCAATGACGAGCCGGTGAGATTCTGGGACTTCATGTCTGAGGTGCTGGTGGGGCTGGGATACGCCGCTCCTCGCTACCACCTCCCCTACATCCTTGTGTATGGACTGGCCCTGCTCCTCTGGCTGCTGGCCCTCATCCTGCGCCCCCTAGTGTCCATAAAACCCACATTTACTCCAATGAGAGTGGCCCTGGCTGGAACCCACCACTACTACAGCTGTGAACGAGCCAAGCAGGACATGGGCTACAAACCTGTGGTCGGTCTGAAGGAGGCGATCGCCCGCACAGTGCAGAGCTACCCTCACCTCAGACAAGGGGCGTGACGTTACCACGGAGATGAAGACTGTAGAGACATGTGATGCTGTGGATGTCAGTACAGTTATGTGCGTGGTGAGAATAAGGGGATCAAGTCACACTGAATGGACAAATCAAAATTAGAAACGTTTTTCTTTGTCCAAACCTGTTTGTTAATGGTCATGTGTGAGTTTCACCAGCAGATGGCAGCAGAGACAGTCCTTGTTTTGGTTATCACCTTACAGTCTGATATTAGAAAAGTTTGAAAGCACTTAGAAAAGAATTTATGTAAACTTAAAGTTATCTTACCTTGTGGAAAATGTTCACAAGTCACTTGTGTACTGTACACACACTGAGATGCTGCTGATTCATCCAAATGCCTTAATACAAGATTGTTCTCCTGATAAAACTGGCATGAAAATGTTTTTTTTTACAACAACAACTACCCTTACCTTACAAGTCATGCCCCCAAAAGAATGTAGACAGGAATGTTGTTATCCAACGCCTCATTTTGAATTAAAGAAAGCTTCAATGCTACAGCACACAGTGATCCAACTTATGGCTTTAGCTTGTGATGGCCCCTTTCTTGTTTAAACAAGATATTTACCCCCAATCCCATCACAATGTTGCATACATATATAAAAATGGTTCTCTGTGCTTTATGTTGAAGAATGTGATTGAGCCCCGAACTCATCCTCATCCAAATCTCTAGAATCAGTGAGAACTGCGGCTATGAGCCGAGCGCTATCGTTTCAAACCAGTGGCTGAATAAAAGCAAATCCCCACAGTTGAAATACACAGGATATTACAGGTCATATTTAATAGCATTGATTCCCACATTTTCAAGTTTGTCTTAGAATAAAACTCATTCCCATATTGTTAAAGGTTTTGGTCCATGTAGTTGTTCCTGCCTGTCTGTATTCAATCTAAAGGAGATTATCTTAATGTGATTGTGATGTAATAGACAGTCCTCAACATGTGTAATAATATAATCTGAATTTCTCACTGAAAATACTTGAACCACCCCCTTGTTAAAATCACACATTAATTCAGGCATTTTAACACAATTAGAATGACAACAGAGCACACACCTCCACCAGGTACCAACAGTTCCCTTACATTCATTCAAGCTGCACCAAATTTCACACTCAGTTCCCTTAACATGTCTGATTAGTTTTTTCTCATCAAGATCTTTTAATTATTCTCTGGGAAATAACTGAAAATATTTAAAAAATCCCCTATTTCACAATGTTAAAGAAAGTGCAAAAAGACTTCCGATCCACTCCAAACCTGACCTTGGCCCATATCACATCCTTCCCCCAAGTTCCAAGGAAATTAGTTCTGTAGTTTTTGCGTAATCCTGCTGCTCGGGCGACATAACAAAGATTCTTTTATGAGTAGGAGGAAGGATTGCAGTTATCATTTACTGCGATTGTACATAGGAGCATGTGAGCAGACTTACAAATGAGATGCTCAGTCATCAAACACAGGGCTAATGTTGGGTAAACACATACATTTGGACCAAAGTATTTGTTTAGATGCATTCATCCTGTTTTTCTCAGCTTCCAGACACAGTTTTTTATTTCCACTGTGATCCTGCAGTGACTCTGCCTCTCTGGCATCTGTTCTATCAGCGTAGGCAAATCACTGGAGTACTGAACACAATAATGGGATGGGCAATGAAAATGCATCACGAGCTACGATCCCTCAATTGCCACATTCGTTCTGTCATCCTGTCATTTTCATAATGACGAAGGTGTGAGGTAGTGTCACAAATGTGTGGATATCAGAGTGACTCATTTTCATGTCTCTAATGTTTAATGTGTTAATTAGCTTCGATGGATATTGGCTTTTTTTTCGAAGTCAATAATTTTTCTCATTCCTCTCCTTGGCGTGGTGACATCGAGGTGGGGGTTAGGTTCAGATACTTTGCATTCTTGTTTTTAATTCTACGCAAGCAGCACCCAAATGATTCACAGCGAGAGTCAACCGGGCAAGGCCGTCCGACTGGTTTTCTCGAGGGACAGGGATCCAGGCAGATAATAGAGTGGAGCGTTGACACTTGCCAGGGTGTTTTTTTTTTTTTACCAGAGTGAAACTTTGGCTCTCAGACTTGCTAATTTCCTCTTCCACCTACTCTCTGTGAGATGTTGCGAAATGGACCCACACCCTGTTTGTGATATGAAACAGCTTCGTAGATGTGCGCACAGCGTGTGTGAGATTGTTTTTATATTGTTCAGAGCCGGTGAGGGGTTGGTCTCCATGTTGAGTGCACACTGAGGCCTCTCAGAGAGTGATGGACAATTTCAGGTGCATAGACATTATTGTTTTTGTCTTTCACCTGCACAAACACTCAGTCACTTAGATTAAGCAAACATCTTGTTTATCTAAGGCTCATAAAGAAGGTAAAATAAGTCACGACTCACTTTGACTAAGCTTTAATTATGATGAAATTGTTAGTAATGAGTGGTTTCAGTTTCCTTTTATAGCAAAACACATAAGGAAGAACTGCAACTTTTTATTTTAAGTACAAAATCAGAAATGTGTGGGTTCTCATTATAAAACACATCATTAGAATGACTTGTGAATTGTTTTTGGTGGTGTCTGGGCCCCTGCCTCTGCTTCTGTTTGTTGTCTCAGTCCAACTTGTGTGTGTTGTCCTTGATCTCATTTTAACGATGTGCGCTGCTGCCTTGGTTTTCCTACCCAGTGAGCGTGAGAGCCGAGCTCCCACAGGAGATGTTGCTGCGACTTGCTTCGCTTACGTATGCGGCCTTGTCGTCGCTCTCCCTTCCCTTGGCCCCACTTGCACTCAGAGCTGATTGTCAGCCACCTGTACGACAGGTATATGCTCCCTTACCTTCTCCCCGTGAACAAAGCACAGATGTAGTACACAAAAAGTGAGTTCTTAGCAACCTCTGCTGCATGCACACAAGCAAGCACACACACACACACACACACACACACACACACACACACACACACACACACACACAAACACACACACAGAGGCAGAGACAAACACTCTGCTCCACCCCATGTCTAACTTCCTTGACTGGCTGGGCTTGTTAGTGCTCATACGCCCGTACTTGTTCCCAGCAGCTCAGGGACTGAGGCACCTGTCAGACAGAGGAAGACTTTCCCTCCACTCACACCAGCGACACACACACACTCTACTGAACTGCATGGACTTTGCTCTGCTCGGTGGAAAGTGAACACAGGTAGGCAGACATTTCTGATGATGCAGCAAATTATCTGGACCCTTTTCTGTATTTAAGAGTCTCTGTGATCAGCAGCGAGTGTGAGAGTGTGGGGAAAGTGTTCAGTCACCATTTTTCAGGGTGTTTTCTCGCCTTTGTGGATTTTTCAGCTGTCTCTCCTGCTCCCTCCTCGCCTTAAAGGCCGTCATTGCTCTCCATTAATCATTTCTCTTGTGTGTGTGTGGACTGATGTGTTAAACCCAGGATAAATATGCTCTCTGAGCTCTCTGTGTATTTGCTCTATAACCAACATTCGTATCCTTAAGAGATGTTGAGCCGATGTGCATTAGAAGAAGTGAATTAACAGCCCTCAGGAGTTATAGTTGTATTTGCATTCTGAATTTGGCAGCACTCCGCAATTTTGCATGAGCAGAAGTCTGTTCCTACTTTTCTGATAAGGGAACCCTCGTCAGTGTTTCATTAATATTGTCCCTTTTTCTTCTCAGAGTCCTTGGAGGAGTGTGTTTGCCTTTAAGCAGTTTATTTTGAATGTAAAGAAAAATCAAGTAATTCAGACGTGTGAAAGGAGGCAGTATTTTTCCATCCTCGTAAATCAGCCTCCGTGGGTATATTTTGTATGCAAAGATAAACTGATATGTGTGTGTGTGTCCCATTCATATTTAGGAAACTGCAGTGTTTTCTTTTGTTTTTTGGAAAGTGGTAGGACAGGATGATCTACATGTCTAAATGATGAGACTGTGGAATGCTTTACAGAGGACATGCTCCTTATTGGGAGGGAGCAAGAGACATTTTGAAACTGATTGTGTGTTGTGACAAATATCCATCTGCTCTTGGAATCTTTTCTTTTAATATAATCTGTCTTTTCTCTTTAGGTGGTGCGTCAATAGAACAGAAGAAAGGCGAGAGAGAAACCTCAAGAAGAAGCATGCCAAAAGGTGAGCAGGATGACTGATCTGATAGGAACGTCAATGTGAGACGAGCTGTTCCTCCGATTAGAACAGAGGGCGCGTCTCCGCACCAGACTGTTGACTGTAAATTCTGTCCCTGGCCCTGATATAAAGAAAAACCCCAAGTGGTTGATGATCTGGCCCAAAGGAGGAAAATCATATGATGCAGGCTACAGTGTTCTCTCAGATGGTGTGTAGGTGGATGACGTGTGTGTGTGTATATGTTTCAGAGGGGGACAGAGCAACTGTGTTGTTCAATACCAAAGTGCGGACCAAGCTGAAGGGAGATGGCAGCTGGCTGCAGCGCTGCAGTGAAACTCAGGCCGAACCTGAGGAGGAGGTGAAACCCTGGTAAGACCAAGTGTTTATTGCAGCTTCATCAAGTCCTCGTCGTCCATTTCTCAAGTTCACTTCAATAACTAAACCAAGTGGATGTGCATCCATGCAGGGTGGCAGAGGTGAGGGCCAACCGTGTGAATGGAGCCCCAATCGAGACCAGTCCAGGGCCATCACCAACAAAGCCCAAACCACCCCTGCCCAGTAAGCCTGACGCTGAGAGGTAAACACCGGTTTCTGATGTCACTTGTCTAGTTCTCTGTAGCTCACTGTGAAACCTGCAACAAAACAATGATTGTGCTGATAACGAGTCTTTGCTTTGAACCTAGACCGCCAACGTCAGGATATCTGATCAGGTAAGACTGCTCATGAAGTTATGAACACGTCAGCCCAGTGACATTTGTGTTTCTGTGTTTGGTGATAGCATAGGAATAGGCTTTTACAGTTTATAGTCACTTTGTGGAAACTATAAACTTGAATTAATACACAGTAAAAAATGAAGAGGGAAGGAAACTACACAAAACTTACTGCTCTACATTTTAGAATTTTGAGGGCAACTCAATCTTTTTTTGGCCACTAATCTTTTGTTCAGATAATTTATCTTTGTTCGGATAATTTATCTTTCATATTTATTAAAATGAAACATTTTGTTTCGTTAATGTTTCTATTTTAAATGACAGGAACATATAGTTTGAATCATATTACACCTGTTTTAACCACTTTACGCTGGCCCCCTGTTTATTTTAGGACTGATTTTATTTAGAATTTAGACCTTTTAATCCCACATGAACCTTTGCGTAGCTTGAGATCCTCGGGGTAGAGGTCTTCTCTCTGTTCCAGGGATCAGGTTGAAAACTAACGGAGCTTTAGCAGTCAGGGCCCAGAGGCTCTTGAAAGACCTGCCTGAGGAAATGAACCCGGCAGAGTCAGTGACACCTTCTTAAAACACACACCTCTACTGAAAGGCCTCTCCTGATTTTATTTGAGTTGTTTGTTGACATATTATTTTATTAATACTGGTAGAAGTACCTCAGAGCAAACTATAACCAGAGAGCATTTTGTCATTTTATTATAATTGTTTTATTTGGTTAAGTCATTATTATTACTAATTCTAAGAATTCTAGTGTCACAGGCTGCAGGGACTTGCTCCACATGTAAAAGTTAGCATATCTCACTCACCATTAACTTTATGTTTACCAAATAAAATCTTAAAAGTAAAGGGTTCTTATCGACCAGTGCTTTTTCTACTACACATCATTCACACGCTGTTAGAGGCCAATTAGAGTTCAGTGTGGTGCCCAAGGAGCCGAAGATTGAACCACCGCCTAAATGTGTCATTACTGCAGCGCCAGAGTTTCTGTCCTCTATTCTACCAAACACTCATGTATAGGGTATCATGTTTCCCTTAAGGTGTGATGACAGGATGCGAACCCCTGTAGAAATAATCCGGAGACCCTGTTTTCAACTCGGCCAAAGCTTCCAATATCATGTTTTGCCTCTAAATATGATCTATGGAGGGCAATCTTGCCAATAAAACTTAATATTACATGAATTTGCTGAGCAATCTCAAGTTTTTATTTTCACAAAATAGAATATCTGAGCTTTGAAAACTGCACTTCATGGGACATTTTGTAATGAAATCATAGATTATTTATAGAGAAAAAAAGTATATGTCTATTCACACTTTTTGTTTTCTCCTTTAGAGGCATTTTCACTAAACTGGACGAGAAGCCTGCATCATCGTCCACATCTAACGGCACAAGGTAAGAGCTTCTCTCACCAGAATGAGCCGCGTTAACAGTGACTGCTGATGCACTCTCACTGACCCCTCTGATTCCCTCACACGCTCGCTGTTCTTTCTTGCAGTGGAACGACGCAATTCTACAAAAAACCCTCGGAGACCTACAAGAAAATGTGAGCGTGCACAAATAAGATTCCCAGTGAGCGGCTGGCAGCTGCGTGATAATGTATTTTCATTAGGTGTGTGTGTGTTTGTGTTTCTGTCCCTCAGAGCCCCCCACACAGTGAGGCCCACGTCGGAGAACCAGGAGGGCCTTCTGAGCAATGAAGAGCAGGAGAAACGGTGAGACTCCCCTCGCACAAAGAACGCAATCCAATCTGAAGTCGCACGCCCCCCCAAGAGATTACATTAACATCATAATGATTTATCTCGCAGGACGAAGGCAGCCAGCAGTGTTCTGAAGACATCTGCAGTCAAGCAGCGGTCTTATGTGCTCTCTGCTGCTAAGAAATACGAGTACGTACTCTGTCTTGTGTCTCCTTATGCCAATCTTAACGCTCAATCTGTTTCTAGGAGTTTTAAATCATAAAAGAAGTGAGTTAAACATTAAAAAAGGTGAAACACATCAAGAAATTGCTCTTTTCACTCACATATGATGAGAATTTATGATGGTGCTTATAAAAGCTGTGTGATGAAAATCCTCAGGTTAAATGAAAAAGACCCTGACACCTCACTGATCATCAACAATGCATCATTTGTGGCTAAAAGGTAAAGGCTCCCTCTCATATATCAAAAAGCAAACGTCTGATTAAATGTGTGTTGGTCTTTCTATATTAATGTGTGTACCCATCTCCACGCATGTTTTCATGCACATGTGCTTGGCTGCAAATGTGTAGGGTTGAGATTATAGATGAAGATGAGGGCGACACGACACCACCACCTGTCAACTCCCCCAGCCCCACCCCTGTCATCCCCGTCACATACGTCGCCCCGAAGCCCAGCCCAAGGAGAATGTAGGTCCTTCCTTTCCATTTCCAGTTCAACAAGAGATTTCTGTTCAGTTTCATTCATCATCTGTCTTGTTTACAGGTCAGAAACAAAGGTGAAAACAGTCGTTGATGCTATTGTCGCTGAGCCAGTGGCTCCGAAGGTTCTGGAGCCTATGCCAGACCTTTTGAAAGAAGACCCCCCTCTAGTGTCTGTGACGCAGAAGGACCCGTTTGAAGGCATGAAGCCAGGATGCACCAAGGTGGCCACACCTCTTCCTGAACTCATCCCAGTGTTTGTAGAAGCAGTTTCTACAAAGCCAGAACCCAAGAAGCCAGATGTTTCTGAGCAAGCCGACACCTCTCTAGTTAATCTCACCCCTGATTTAACAAACCTGGTGTCAACCACTCCAGCTGTCTCAGAATCCCCTGCTCCATTGTCCCCTGTCATGACTTCAACTGTCCCAAAATCCCCTGCTCCATTGTCCCC